GATAAAATTTTGTATACAGGAAGCTGACGTCCAGGAATAACACATAGGCTACTTTACATCCCGGAAATCCCAAAAATCCCGGAAGTCCGCGGGTAAAACCGCGGGGCGCAGCTAGTATAAAAATAATGTCAATACTGTAAAGGGTTCATACTGAAAGCCAGACGATGTTCATCCAATACAATGGCCTGGATCTGACCTCCTTCCAGTAGGACTCGTCGCTCTGATACTGATACAGCCGAGACTGATACACACTCAGACATGTCAACACACTGAGGCTCCCATACACTGCACCTATAACACATACAAACAAACATATATATGTAGGAACAACCTTATGACCCATGTATATCTTACTGTATGTAATATATAGACATCATGAGGAAAAACTAGGATTAATTTACAGGAATATTTTGATATGTTCTCTCCCAAAACAAGAAATCAATATGGATCATTTAACCCATTGCCAATGATACACTATTTTTAAGTTAGAAGATTATATATAGTAAATCTTCAAATAAATTTTGTACACATAATAAGTTACTTTTATCCAGTACAATTAAAAAATATATTATTAAATCTTACCAAATCAGCAAATGTGTTGAGGTTTGGGCTACAACAGCGACACTGTTTTCTATCCATTGCACGAAACTAACTCCGCTCCCGATAATTTCCTAAAAAAATGAAATACCAGACAATAAAACATCATATTTATTTGACTCAATTTATCCAGCTATGTCGTTTACGCTATATACAGGGTGACTGGTCAATTACTATCAATATTTAAGGAGAATACTCGGTACATGATTCTCATTCGAATTATGTAAAAAAAATAGGTACTTAATTTTTGACCAAATTTCCGTATAAATAAATAAAGTGTGGACACGTTCCAAGTGTTCCAAGTGTGGACGCGTGCGGTGGCGTGCTGATACAACAACACGCCGCCAAACGCGTATGTGTGAGTGTGTGTGTATACCTAACCTGTAGGGTGTTCACACGATGCGTAATTAATTACATAACTTTTGGTTAACTTTACTTAGAAGTTTATTAATATTTATGTTATATTAATTTTTATTTTGTCATATATGATCGTCAAATATCACGTCCTCAAATATCGATAGTAATTCACCAGTCACCCTGTATACGAGTATGAATGTGCTACCTTTTCACCGGTATCAATACGGAGAAGTGCAAGTCGTCGTCCAGTATGACGGAACAGAAGCAGATGTCCGCTCTCAGTCAGCTCCAACCAATCCACCCGAGCTTCGTGCCACCATGGCCCTAACTGAACTCCTACAACATTCACATCATTGATATTAATAAATATAATGCAACGACATCAATCTTTTTTTTCATAACAAAGGAACTCTAACATCTATCCTATGTATGTTCCGTACCTGTAACAAGATCAATAACAGCAATCGTCTGTCTGTCAGCAGATAGGCGAAGTGTTTTCGTTCTTCCTCCGTCTTCCTGCCCTCATTGATACGGACACTGAGCACGTGAGGATTCACACGCTCAGTACGAACCTCCATAAGATACGAATCATTTTAGTATAAATTAAATTACTTGACATTGTGTAGATCTTGATCTATACTCACGGTTTGTAGTACTCTATCGAGGCCGTACTCCACCACACTAAGTTCGCCAGCACGCTGCAACAGACAGGCTCCACCCACAGCTGCATATATACGCTCCCCTCCACCGGACCATGGTATCTGGAGTATTCATGACTATAAACTTTTAACTAACCTTAACTTTTGTTAAAATATCAGCTGGCATTTTAGCAGTTTATAAATAATCAATTTTAACAAACTTATCTGCTACTGCCTGTCTCACAGAATGGTATCTAACATCTATATGTATAGATCTCCTGTGGTATACTGGATTCAAAACAAGTTTTTATACACTTTGATAATCATTATACAAAATCATTGTTTCTGAATTAACCCCAATTTCAAAAATAAATAGCCTCCTTACTGGCTTCTCACATGGAAATATACTGTGCTTCTGTTGAAAACAAAGCTATATTTCTGTTTTCTACATTCAAAAGAAATTACTAAACCAGACAACTTAAAACAAAATCTAGAAAAAGATTTTTTATCATTTGAACCTGAACCCCAACTTGCATCAACATATCCTTGTCTATAACAATTATCCTTTCGTAAAACAAGGCCAAAGATTTTAGTAACTTTTGAGTACTTTAAAATTCGTTTTAAATGTTTCCAATGAGTTTCATCATATGAGTTCTTAAACTGACTCAAATAACATACACTGTAAGCTAAGTCGGGTCTGGTCAAGACAGATAAATACATAAAATTACCTACCACTTGTCTATATGGAATTTTCTAACCACAAAAAAACTGTTCTTAGATTTTTCTAGCCTTACATTAACCTCCATAGGAGTTTCCAGTTTTACAATGTAACATATTAAATCATTTCAGAAAGCTTTCTACATATTGTTCTTGATCAACAGTTATAACATTTTCATACATATTTACTCTTAAGCCTAAACAATGCTTTATTGGATCTAGATCTTTTATTTAAAATTTACTGCTTAAATCTTGTATTGCCTGATTAGTTGTCATTTTACAATTAGAGAATACAAAAAAGTCATCAACAAACAAATCTATTATCACCATAACATTTCTTTCAAACTTTATAAATAAACAAGGTTTATACTTAGATTTTAAATGACCTAAAGATTTAAGTGATCATTGTCTTTCTCAAACCATGCATGTGAGGACTGCTCAAGTCCATATATGGCATGTTTATTATTATCATCTTTATACAATACAGGTTTTTCAATATATATACACAGAATCATTCAAAAATATCATAGGTGGTAGAGCCTAGCTGTGGTCAAGTGAATGCAGCTCGAACATGAGCTGTCTCGACCGGGGAAGTACCACCCTCTCACAGAAGATCAGTGTGAAGTAGTCTTTAATGGCTGCGTTTCTTCCGATGAGTAGGAGTGCCGTTTGTCCTTTTCCTTCTCCCATCCTTTCCTCCCCTTCCCATTTTTCCTCCCCCTCTTCCCTAATCAAGGGTGGTGACACATCCACAACATGTCTTATGAATAGTGTAGGCCGTCTGCTCGGTTGCCCCCTTTAACATAAAAAAAAACATTCAGGAAAGCTGATGTTGTTGGTGTATATTTAAAACTAATTTTACAGTTAAAGAAAATAACAATCTTAGAGTAGAATAATGTAGCACAGGGGAAAGTCTCATGATAGTGTATGCCAGCTTTCTGTGAAAAACATATTGCCATTAATCTTGAATGACAATGCATCTTACCAACACTATCATACTTTGTTTTTAAACACCCATTTGTACTGAGCCACCATAGTATCACAAGAGTTATCCACAAGTTCTCATTCATCATTTATCTTAAACAATTCTTATTCTTCCTCCATACTTGCTCTCCAAATTACTCTCAGTCCCATTTAAAGCTCCCTCATGGGTAATATTCATTTTAATCTGATCATCTGATTTGAAGAAGCTTCTGGAATATATGTGACATAAATTATATCACATTCAGTATGTGTGCTATCTGCATTACCTTTTCTTCTTTTTCACTATGTTCCTACGCTTAAACCTTACTCACTCAATAGGAATATTAACTGTATTTTAGGTTGGTTACATTATAATGATGTCTCCACTAGTTTTAACTGAGTTATTATTACAGGATTATAAACCCTATAGCCTTTCAAAATAAGTTCTTTATGTTTCATATCCAATTTCTAACGATTTTCTTTACACCTGACAACTTGCATTATGCATTTTGTGTATTATTAAATAAATAATGTTACCAAATTCGGTAAGTAAAGTAGAAAACTCGAAAAATTCGAAAATTTGCTAACGGTCAGTAACTATTAAGCCAAAGAGTGAGACTATATTAGAAAACATGAAGTTGACCACCCCTATATGGTTACGAATTGAATATAGCAAATAAAACTTACCAAATGCGTATACTATTAATAAAACAAATTCTGTACCTGTTCGACTCATGCCTTAATTTGAATTGCTTGTTTGTTTTGTTTTAGGTAGCGTTAAATTTCTAATGCATTGATACGTGGTAGGGTGGCCTGAAAAAGAATTTGTCCTACTTCTCGATCGTAATACAAACTTATATTCTTACATCGAGTTCTGTTCCAAAAAAAAACGGTCCTTGTCTTGTCGACGCGACTTGTTGCGAGACTGATGTTAATTATCAGTCATCTGCTTACTCAATCAACCAGTCACCTATAACACACGCAAGTAATAGTTAAAATAGATTTTAAAACATAATTGGTGTTTTATTTCATTTATAACTCTTTATGTAATCAAAAACGTATTACATAAATGTAACTGTGAACAGTGAACGTGAATAGTATCCCATTTCTGATTTTAGTATTCTAAAAAAAATACTCACAAAAATATAGTTTTCTTATAAAGCCAGTACTTTTAAATAACAAATAAAACCTTAACTAGAACAAACTAATAATATTCCTAACTCAATACACCTTAAATAAGTTAAATTCAATTTACAAAAATAAAAGTCGTGTTTACAAAGTACTTTCCCGCGTAAAATTAACAAACAAATCGTCATCAGTGATCAGTGTTACCAGAATATTTTATTCTCGAATCACCCCGCCGCACTGGAGCGCGCGTGTAACCCCGAGATAACCCCATCACGGCACACAGGTAGTTAACCCCTTGCTGCATGAATTATGAAAGAGATGAAATAAATTTTTTTTTTTTGGCAAAAATGTGTTTATTGTAGCTTAATTAGTGAGATCAAATCAACAAAAAAAAATATTAGCTTATAATTCAAAAGTTAGTAATCAACGCCATATGTGGCTTCGTATGCATTCTAGCCATATACGCTTCGGTCAAATATGGCTTCGTATGCATTTACGTGTAAAGTATTTTATTCCTCGTGAAATTCTTTGTAACAGTTGCGTTTGTCATTATAGCACAAATAAACATTACATTTTTCACATAATGTAAAAGAACGAAATTTAGAACAATTTTTGGCATATTTGTCGGGCATTCTTCTTCCAAATCGGAAAATGGCTAATCCCATCGGTACGCACGGACGCCAAAGGCAAGTCTTGATGCCTAGCTGGCGTTTTTCGTGTCTTTTTTGCGGGAACTGGAGATTCAGGAATACGGGAGGGAGTGCCACCCCGGCTGGATGTCGGAGTTCCAACAATGCTCGATGGACGACCACGTTTCTTGGTCATAACTGCTTTTCCTGCTTTACGCAAATGTTCGGAAACGGCCAGTTTGAAATCATAAAGTGGCATGTATGAGTCAGCATTGATTCGGCGCCATAACAACCACGCATTGACAAGTGTCATGTCCACCATGTGAAAAAAAATCCTCTTGTACCATTGACGAGACCGCAAATGGATTCTACATATAATAACCCAGCATAGAATCTAGTAAATCCACTCCTCCCATATGCTGGTTATAAACATCTACAGCTTGGGGTGAAGGTATGTAAACATATTCTTTATCTTGGCGAACGTAACGCCGCTTTGTTGTTGTGGGTTCACTTCCAACGTAGGCTGAAAGAAAAAAAAAGAAGAAAAATCTGATTCTGACTCCGGTATAATGATATGTCGTTTAGGAGTTAAACTAACGGAGCCAATATTACAATTATCGTCACAATCCGAATCAACATCATCGTCACTAATGTCACCATCACCTGGAATGATGTTTACATGCTTTACAGTGCCATAAAAGCGTGCTGGGTCCATTTCTAAAACACAAAAGAAAGAAGCCTTAAATGCATACCAAGCCAAATATGACAGTACCACTTTTGACCATAATGCATACGAAGCCAAATATGGCAATTTTGAAAAAGTAGATAATTACGTCGAAATATGCAAAACAAAGCAAAAATCAAACATTCACCGTTTATAAGAAAGATAAAAGAATACTGTGGTATTTTTTTCAACCGTTTACTCACCTTTTTGATATGTTTTTTTTTAAATTAAAAATTACACTTTTTTCGCTGCACCTGCTCCGCCGCACGCGCTCAACATAACCTTAAAAATATTTGACAGCTGACATTTGACATGAATGAGTTAATTACATTCCGTTTCACCATGAAATTCCGAATCTGTTGTTGGTTAAATTTTAAAAATCGGACATACCAGTAGCTTGTAAAAAAAATGTAAACTTGGTCATCCATATATGGTTTCGTATGCGGTAAGGGGTTAAGGCGGGAAAGTTGAAATAAATTCATGAGCTTATTATTGGTTTTATATTAATTAAATTCGTTCTATTATTTTACAATAATAAATAATATTTTAAATACAAATAAAATTCAATTATTGAAGTACAAATGGTCTAGATTTTTTTTTTTTATTGATTGCACTTTGTTTTTAAAATAATTTACCTGTTTCAGTTAACTTTTTCTGTTTTTTACTAGTTAAATTTGTTGCCTTGTGTTGATGAGTTTTTTTGCTGCAATGAACTTTTAAATCATGCTTATGAGCACGTAAATTCACCCGGCACCATTTACAATATGCCTCTCCTTGACCTGTTAATATCAAATCAAATCGGCTACCTGATTTCAGCAGATAAAATAATATCGCCACTCGGTAAGGGAGATGGCCCCATTGGCGCTATATAGCCTCACCTGGCAACACTGAGCGTCAGCGTTTCAATATCACTTTGGATGCGTTGGGAATTTAAAAGTTCGGTTCAATTTAAAAGTGTGTTTCCTAAGTATATTATATAAGTTTTCCATCAACAAAATAAAAACAAAACATTAGCGTTTAGACAAAACAGCCGATGTCGTCTATACAACACTCATTTGATCTGTCAAATAAATATCAATAATTTTGTCGATTGTCTTTCAATGATCTTACTTTAAATTATTTACTGTTTCGGTTCTATTTGTACTTATGATAAATTTTTGGATTAGTAATTTTTTTGTTGAAGAAAAACTAGTAAATCTTAATTTGTTCATGTTACGCTACTATCATATTCAGTTGGTGTTTTTCTGTGGCTCCTGAGTTGTATCACCACGTCGTCAGTCGTGGTCAAAATGAATGAAATCCATTGCCTAGGTCTCAGGTCAACTCATTTATGAATTTCGTCAATTGAAGTTTGCTTTTGATACACAGAACCAGTCTTCTGGACCCAGGAACATATGATGTTAGAACTTGTCCTGTAATGTTACAGTATATTTTAATACTAGCTTTTGCCGCGACTTCGTCTGCGTGGAATAGTGACTTCCGGCAGATTTTTGGTTCTTCCCACATAGTTCCCGTTCTTGCGGGGTTTTCGGAATGGTCGAGTTCCCGTAGAATTTTCAGGATAAAACCTATGTTTTTTTTAATTCACAATGAAGTTCTCTTCACCAACAACATATTTATTTGTTTATTTGAATAAAGATTAATATTATTATGTTGATACAACTTAAACAAATTATTTCGACCAAATTAGGTACCATAAAAACGGTTTTTGTGAGTTAATCTTAAAAGATAGACATACATTGTCCCGGACTGTTTTTTAGATCAGTAAAAGAGCTATTATTCTTTAATACATATTTTTTGTGTATCTTGAACCGTTTTCACGGCGCACGCAACGGAAGACTTCAAAGATGAAATAATTTCTCCCGTTTTTTTTACACATTTACCACTATATCTTTGCTCCTATTGGTTGTAGCGTGTTATGTTATATAGCCCACAGCCTTCCTCGATAACTGGACTATCCACCACAAAAAGAATTATTCAAATCGAACTAGTAGTTTCGGAGAATAGCGCTTTCAAACAAACAAACTCTTCAGCTTTATAATATTAGTATAGATTCGCTAAGACAATAGTACATTTAATATTTCATTTTAGTCACGTGCTTTCAGATCTCAGATGATACACCCAAAACCACAGGGATTGCGTTTCTAGCCTCTTTTGGAGAACCCGTCCCAAACCTTACGCTTTTATCTTCAATTCCTACTAAATATATATATATTTTTTAGATCGAATTCCTTGAAGTAGTTAAAGTTCAGTTATGTTCGACTAAATTAACTCAATTTAAGAAAATTTTAAGTTTCATAAATACAGTTCTTCTATATATTTTTCCAAGGTATTTATTACTATAGATTCTTGTTACTGATCTATTTCTATCAAATCTTACAACACCAGGGGTCCTTTAATGCTAATTTTAAACATAAAATAATACTCATCTATATTTTAAATAAGCTTTTACCTGGTACGTATTGAACTATATATTATTGAAATATATACGTATTGGACTATATATTGTTTAATTCGTCGTTAATTTGAGTAAATTGATTAATGCGGAAATTCTCGGATATTTAGTATAAAAGTAAAAGAATCGTTTAAACTTTTGTTTTTATTTATATCTAGATATAATTTTCTCCGAATATATCGACAACACGTCGTTTTGCCTTTTTCTTAAATATTCGTATAATGTATGTACCTATAATGTCATGTTAAACTACATATATCTAGTATATAAACAGCATAAGATGCAACAACTAGCTATGACTAATCACATAAATTAGAAATTTCTAAAAAAATAACAGCAAAAAACTGAACGTTATTTAAAATAACGCAGGATAAAACCTAAAACATAATAAAACACATAGTTACTTCACTGACATAAGTTAACTCCGTCTCTTTGTGCCTTTTATATCATAATATTGTCGCACAAAAACTAAATACAGATAGATTGGGAGCAGATTCTTTTTACTTTTTCCTATATGAACTGTGTCAGCTTCGTCAATAAAGTGTTGATAAATATCGGGACATTGTTTAAAACTCGTTACATTGTTACCCAGCTTTTGAGAGCTTACTTTTTTTAACTATTACTTTATTGGTTTTAATTTTCTATATAGTACTCGATAAAGTAAGGAACATGTGCCGTTTTCGATTAAGTTAAATAAAAGTATGCATCATGGGGATGAAAAACTGTCATATAATAACTTTGACACTATTTTCCTTTATAACTTTAGAGATGGCGTAAGTAGCTCTGAAATTGGTTTGACAATTGACATTAGGACAAATTTTAAATTATTTCAGTTGTTCATTTGCCGTTGTTTACTGTTGTTTTTGTGCTGTACGTTCTTTTTCAAACATTTGACCCGGCTTATATTAATCATTGACTCCTATTTCCACGCTTTTGACGATCGAGTATCGACCCCGTTTTTTCTCAATTGGACTTTGTTTTCTGCGAGTACGATCGACCCCAGCTCTTCTCATTTGGATTTTGATTGCAAACCACGAATTTGGATTATCGATAAGTTGAAAAAATGCCACGAAAATCGGCTATTAAGTGTTACTTTCGGTGTGCGACTGAAGGTACTTATTTAGTAAAATCTAAAAAAATATTATTTGTCGTATATATGTATATACAATCAATTACTACTCTTGTTACATCAATTTCAACCGTAACAGTTTATTGACTTCTAATAAAAACATTTCAGGTCCTTTTCATCAATTTCCTAAACCTGAATACCCAAATTTGGAGAAATTAATTCAATGGAAAAATATTTTAAATGAAGACATGAAACAATAGGAAGATTCTTACATTTATAACAATATAAGAATATGTGATGATTATTTTGAACAGTTTTACCATTCTTCAAGTAAACGACTCACTCAAAATGCTGTACCAACACTATACTTAAGTAAGTATCTAAAGTAAGCAACTTCCCAAGTAGTTATAGGCACACAATACATACTATAAATATAAAAAAAAACTATAAATAATTAATTATATTTTATAACTATAGATGATAATATACATTATTATTATTTTACTTTAGAAATTGGTGCTCATAATTAAAAATTATAAACAAAAAATAATGATTTAATTGAATATAATGAAATAGGTATACAAGTCATCTTAACATTTTTATATACTTACATGTGGTTTGATAGATTTATAATGTGCCCTCTTTATTACCTTTTTTATATAAATAAGAGAAAGTTCCTACAAACAGTATTGAAAATTAACTACTTTTGTCACTTCTTTACATAGGTAAAACAAAAACAAAGTGTTCTAAATATGCAGAGATTATAATTTCATTGCATAACTACAAACCAAAAAAAGTTGTTTATAGTTTTTTATGTAATATAAGAATGGCAGTGTTTAATTCAGTAAAAATTACAAGTCTATTAACATTCAATCAGAAACTCTAAAAGAAACGAGGAAGAATGGTACTTGATTGTGGGCCGGATTTGTAATAAATTTAGCAAAATAGTCTGCTTGCTCTAGAATAGGATTATTTGCTTGTTTTGAGACAGCAGATGATAAAACTCTCTTATTTTATATATAATATAGTTAGTTTTTGAATGTAATTGTGGATTTTGTTGTGCTGTCAATAAAC